GGACCGGACTGCCTAACTGGGACTGTTGACTCAGCAGGGTGGCTTACCACCACTTGACCACTTGCCTCTGTTCAACATAGGCTCACTCCGAAAGGCCACTTCTAGAAACCTCCGACTTGGCCTTTCGGTGTTGTAGCAGCTACGACTTTGCCCCTTCAGGTAAGTAGCAGCTACGACCTTGACCTTTCAGACAACCTACAACTACGACTTCGGAACTGTCTAGACTCCTACCCTACAAGTCTACAGTTCGATTCTCTTCTAAGCTGTGACCTACGACAATCTTCCTACCACTGGCGTTTCGACAGGTTGCAGGTTCAAATCTACGGGTTGACATCAATACTGTACACAGGTAAGATGGGGAACTAGGGATCGAACCCTGGGATCTGCATTCGCTACTGCGAGCTGGTGAATACCGTTTCAGGTCTGTGAAGCTCGGCTTGGCTGCCAGACCCTCTTCTTCCTCGTTGCCGCTGCACAGCTTCCTCCTCGGGTGCACCGCTCAGCTTCCGCCCCAGCAGTGCTGCTGCATTGGCAAAATGCCCAGATGTACCCCAAAGCTGTGCCCTCCAGACTTTTGTGCTGGGTTGAGCAGCCGAGAAGCCCCTGGCCTGGCTGCGCCCAGGCCCTTCCAGAAACAGCACTGGGCCCTTCTAGAATCTGCATGAGGCCTAGCATCTGCAACCAGTAGGTTGGGCTTACCAGTTACTTGTAGATGCTGCATGTGCAGCAACCACAGTGGGCCCCAACATTCTGCTCACATGGGCCTGTACTCAGGACGAAGCTCAATTTTCGCACGTCCGTGTTCACTTAGGACAGGCAAGGCCTTTTGCAGCATTGCCGAGGGTCTTATTCCTCGCTCCATATTAGAAAAGAAAAGAGTGTTACGGTCCTGGCCAATTCCAAAGTGCAAAATTACAAGGAAAATACAACTCCGTCCAATTGCAAAAAGAAATGAATGAGCTTGAGAGGAGAGAGACACCAAAGAAGAAGAAGAAGAAGAAGAAGAAGAAGAAAGAACGAAGAAGAAGAAGATGTACGCCAGCAAAAGACCAATGACAATTCCCCCTTCTCTTGCCAACCAACTCCTCCTCCTTGTCTCTCCCTCTCTTATTCAATTAATAAATAATAATAATAACGATGAATGGCTGAACCAGAACCAATGTTTGAATCCCTCTTCTATTGCCAGCAGAATATGAGGTCCACCATAGCCATGACGCCCATCTTCCTCCACCTCTGACAGGTCTGACCGTCTGGGCTACGGCGGACCACTAAGGGCCTTGCCCGATGTTCAAAAGGCAACACGAAAGCAGCTGTGTCCTCCTCTCTTCAAACCGCCATGCCTGACTGTGCCTTGAAGCCTTCTTGATGTGGCACCACCCCACTAGGGGCTTCCAGATGCTGCGCCTACCAAGGAGATAAAGACGGTGCCCACCATAGCCAGGCAAGTACCTCTGGTGCTATCACCCCTAGTCTCCTTCTTCCTCCTTCTCCTACCCAGTCCCGTCCACCATAGCCGAAGGTGGAGGACTGGGCACTCCTCTTCCCCCAGCGCTGCACGCTAGCGCTCCTCCAGGCACTCCAGCAGCGTGACGCCCGAACTTGCACGCAGCAAATCAGGATGAGCTAGCGCTCCTCCAGGCACTCCAGGCACGCTAGCACTCCAGCAGCCTCTGGGGCGGTGACTTCCAGGTCGCGTGGCCTCCAAGCAACCAGTAGCTCCTCCCATTTGGAGGGAAACATCATTGCAGACCTGATATCTACTACTGTCGGCCCTAGACTCTACCTACTGGACCTCTACCCCTAAAGGTTGTAATGTTTTGCCTTCTTCTGCTCGGCCTACCGCTACTCAAGTACCACTGGTACCTACCTACTTGAGTGTGCCCTAAGCTACCCCTTCATCTAACCCTCACAGTCACGACCACAGTTAAGTACCGGCCGCGAGGGCGTCACAAGCACACAAGTACCCTGGCGGGTCACACACACACTCAAGCACGCAGGCACTCAGCAAAGCACACGGAAACCAAGTGGAACGCACACACACAGACTTCTAAATCTCAGCAGAAGGCGGGAATCTCAGCTAGTCACACATGCCAACAACGAAGCTCAGAAATCAGCAGTTTTCTCAGTCTGTGATTTTGTGGGTTGTTACAAAGGCCGGTAAAGGCCTTTTGAACCGAAGTTGCCAGCAATTCATAGAGTAGACACCACAGTAACAAACGGCGAAAAAAATAAAAATTAAAGTGAAATAAACCCTACACCACAGAAGAATTGGCCAGCAAATCATGCTTTCAGTATTTTACATGGTTAACCCCGTTAACCATGTGACATATTGTTTGAATGGCAACTATGCTTTTGAGTGAGAAAAGGGTTGCACTCAGTGCCTTACACAGTGGGCAGAAAGGCTTGAGGCTTCTCCTTGCAGAATTTCTGGAGGATTGGGAACTTGCTTGTTGATATGCAACACAGTGGACATCACAATTCTTTTGAACTCCTTCCACTGTTCAAGCTAGCTGAGAATGATCTGGTTCCTAGTTTGCAAATGCAAATGGTGATGGATTTCCACTGTTAAAAAAAAACTTAGGTCAGAATGATGTGGTTGAGCTAAGCTTGCCGACCTCACGTGGATGGTGGGTTTCAAATTTCAATTGTTTCGGCGTTCATTGTTACAGCTCGAATGTGAAGGATGATCCCGTTGAGGCCATGATTCAGAGGTGCACAGAACTGGTGCGATGCAACCTCCGGGGGTGCAAGAAGATTTCAGGCCTTCTTTTCAATAGCATCAATCGGACTATGCATGCACGAAGAGCGGTTCTGGGACTGGCATCGCCAGATACCTTTACCTATGTAAAAAGGGATTGCAGCTTGCCAGAGTGCAGTGACAGAGGTCAGTGTGTGCATGCTGCCATCCCCATATAAACTTTTATGCAGTGTATTCAGGGTCAGACTCGTCAGAGTGATAGATATATATATATACAGAGTTGCCAGGCCGAACGTACGGAGGCCCCTAAGCTGACCCCCGAACGTTCGGGCGTTCGGGTCCCCGTACGGGGCCCGAACTCTGAAGGGGTTCGGACCCCGCAAAAAAATATTTTGGTACCTAAAAATTATTCTTTTTTTCTGATTTTTTTTTTGTGAGTTCTCTGTTATGTGAGCTTCCTGTCTCTCAATTTTGAAGTCATTCTGTGGAGCCAAACAATAATGAAAAATCGGCAAAGATGGTGGTGTCAAAACTTGCTTTCCCACTTACTAATTTGTGTTTTTTCTCTTTTCACTTTTTGTTTTCCCTTTATTTCAGGGCCTGAAAAAAATTATTAATTTTTCAAACTTTATTTGTAGGTTCTCTATTATGTAAGATACATAT